ACCGCTCTTTTTGCGGACAAGGACAAGAGGAGTGGCCCAGTCTGAATGCTGTACTGGTTCGATTATTCCTTGTCCTTCCAGTCGGGAGAGCTCCTGGGTGACTGCTGGTCGCAGTGCAAGGGGCACTGGGCGAGCCTTGCAGAACTTGGGGGTCGCTCCTTCCTCCAATTCCAACTGCACCAGGGGTCCAGCGTATCCCGAAATGTCCTCCTGGAATACTGCGGAATGGCTTTGCAAAACCGCCTGTACTTGTGGTGGCGTGTTCCGCTGTTGCAATTGGTTTATTCCCCGTACTCTGATGTGGAGAGCTTGGAACCAATCGCGCCCTAAGAGGTTGCAGCCGGATCCCTTCATTACCAGAAGTGGTAGCACAAAGTCCTTAGACTTGAATCTGACGGCAGCTTAGAAACGTCCAAGGAGTTTTAGTCCTTCTCCGCTCCAAGTGTGCAATTCTGTGTCGTCGTGCGTAAGCTTCGGCGGATTCCGGGGCCATGTGTTGCGGAAGGTTTCCTCGCTGATCAATGAGCAGGCAGCACCCGAATCCACTTCGAATACGAGCGACTTGCCATCAATTCGAAGTGTAACCTGGAACTTGGGGACGTCTGCAGTCGTCGCCAGCTTGTTAAGCTCATAAAATGAGCATCCAGGGCTGGTTGCTGCCCCGCTCGTTTCCTCTGACGCTGCCATCATGTGGTTGGCTTTCTTGAGTGTTTTGCTTCCTTGTTGCTTTTTCTTAGCGATGCAAGCCTTTTCAATATGTCCGCGCTTGTTGCAGTACCTGCAGTCCGTGTTTTCGAAACGGCACTCCTGCGGATCATGCTGTCCTGTACAGCGGTAGCAACGGCGTCCCTGCTGTGTCGAGGAATCCTTGTTTTTCTTTTCGGTTTTGTTGACTTGAGGCTCAACTTTGCTTTTGATTTCTTTCTGTTGCTTAGACGCGCTCTCAGCTCTTACTGCAATGTCCAAAGCTGCAGAGAATGTCAGATGTTGTTCTGCGAACAGGCGTTGCTGCAGTAGCTCGTCGCGTATGCCGCAGACAAATCTGTCGCGCAGCATGATGTCCAAGGCCAGTCTGGTGTCCTGCCGTGGCGTTGCTGGTGTCCCAGTAGTAGCCTCGGCAGCATAGGTCAGAGCTGCCGGTGGATGCTGCGATGACGTCGTTGCAACAGCTGTTGTTGAGGTAGTCGGTAGACTGAAGTTGCAATCTACTGCCAATTGCTTCAGGGCCGCGACATAGTCATTTATCGACTCGTCGGCTAGCTGGTCCCTGCGCTGGAACTTGAACCGGCTGTAGAGCTCCGAGGCCTGAGGGTCAAAATGTGCTCCAAGAATGGACACAAGTTCCTCGAAACTGACAGTGGCAGGTGTTCTAGGAGCTACCAAAGGTCGGACGATGTCGTAAGTCTCCGGGCCACAAAGCGTAAGCAGCAGTGCTCTCTTCTTTTCTACGTTGGTGATTGAATTTGCCACGAAGTAGAAACCTAAGCGCTCGATCCATGACGACCAGGACTTGCCTGTGAAGGCTTCAATGGTTCCTTGCGTCGGCATGGCTTGCGGTGGCTGTCCCAGGCTTCGTTGGCTCGTAGTCCCTCGTCGCCAGTGTTGTGTTTGTGCCGACAACAGCTACACCACCGAATAATAACTGGTTTTATTCGGTGACGGCCATCAGCGACCGCTTGTCCTGCTGCCACTCGAAAGTCCCTGCACGCGCTCTCTGCTCTTGCACGCACGTCGTGCTCGTCGTCGTCGTCGGTGCACTAGTTCAATTGCGATCGATTATGACAGTAACAAAAACCCAAGACTGAGGCACACAAAAGGGGACTCTAGTTTTTATTACCATGAATCACAACGGCTAGCTTGTTTTTCAAGTATTGTTATGGTTACACAAAACTTGTTGCGAAAAAATATCTGTACAAATGCTATATACAAGAGAATGTGACAAGGGGCCAGTAAACGTTGATAGACGAGATGAGCATAAAAAAGTAAAGTTCAGATCGTATGACATGCTTGCAAACCGCATTTCTAGATTAACCCATTTTCCCGTGACTACACTAAAAAAGAAAAAGAAACGGAAGTGGCGACTTACTCGGTCAAAGTCCATTAGGTAGGATACTTTTCTTTCACGTCGTCCATTCTGAAAGTGGTTAACTCCACCAGTTGCTGTCAGATTTATCCTTTCTTTGATCTGGTTTTCATCGGGATGAGACTTTTTCACTTCGTTTCTGAGCCACTTCCCATGGGCTGCCAGGCTTGTCTCGTCCTCACCAGCAGCCGAAGCAGGAACGGTGATGTCCTAAATTGGATGTGGTTGAAATAGAGTATAACAAATAATGGTGCGCTCCATTACATAAGCTACCAACAAAACCTTTTATTCATTTATTTAAAATGATATTGATCCTCCACGGCAGTGGCTCTCAAATGGAGGTCCGCAAAGGCGTTCTAGGGGTCTGCGAAGCCCTGCCTCATTAGTCAAGCCTGGCAGTAAAATTTGTACTTTTTTCTAGATTGAGAAGGAACTTTCCAACCTTCGAGTGTGTTTTTTCGTGTGTATGTCAATGACAGAAGTCTAGCACTTACTTATATTGATTTATTGAATCATTATCATAATTAATCTAGACCTTTCTCTTCCCGTCACTACGAACGGGGTCACCCATCATCTTCGGCGATCCACAAGGGATCCGCGAAACATGAATGGTTGAGAACCACTGCTTGATGGGAACAAGGGAGAACCTACACCTGTATTCCTTTCCACTTTTCAATGGAAAGTATAGCTTCCAACAGCCTTTCTTCACCTTTTATTGTCCATGATGCACAGGAGTATCTTGTATTTTAAATTGTCTCGAGCCAACACCATCCCAAAATATTATAGCTATACAGATACGAGTCAGCGAGGAAAAAGAACACAAGCAGTGTGGAAAGAATTGAATTAGTGGTCGTCAGGGCACAGCTACCGGTCAGGAAAGCGTGACTTTCGTCCTGGTTTTGTTTTCATGGATACCAAAATGGCGACCGCGCTGTAGCCAATCAAGCGCCAGCCGGCGCCGTCCGCTCCCAAAAGCGAATCCAGAACTCAGTTTTTGTGGGGTTTTTTTTCAGGGGGGGGGGATTTGTAAGGATACGATTCTCCCATTCTTTCCGTGTACCGGGGGGTCCACCCATGACAAATTACCCTCCAAGAAAACCCCCCCCCCCCCCCTCTCGGATTCGTCCCTGTCCGCGCCGCGATTGGAAGATGGCGGCGGCCGCGTTGAAAAGGTATATATTATATATCCACACTTTGTGCAAGTAGCTAGTATTCCCTCAGGCAACCCTTACCAGCTTCAGCTTCTTGTTTCGGTGCAGGACTGCAGCTGTCGCTGAGCTCTGATCATTTTTTCTTTGTGCCCCAAATTTCTTTTTGTTTTGAGCCACTCTTGCATTATCCGATAGTCCCTGTCTTAGATTCTTGACCTTGACCTTGAGCCAAGGAGCTTCCTTGGCTCAAGCTCAAGGAAGCTCTCCAGGAATCCTAAAAATTGTAGAGAAAACAAAGAATGTAATGCTAATACACATCTAAGCTAGATACTTGTTTGTATACCCCCCCCCCCCCCTGGTTACAGCGGATTTGGCTGCAACTGGCTTTCAAATACTATCACCGACAACAATTCATTATTTTTATTTATTTAAATGAGAGAAATGCAAATCTTCAATCTCTTTCTTTAGTGGTGCTAGTTGAAAGTAAGTAGCTGGCCTCACTGCGTCCTGAAAGACGTGCCATTTGGGGAAGCAGGGTTAATTTTCTGATCAGTTATACCTAGGGATCTGCGTTTTCGGCTTTTATTTTTCTAAAACTCTGCACACTTTTTTAGGTTTTTATTTTGAAATTATATTTTCGGTTTTTATCGGTGAATATAAATAAAAATACAAGTTAACCGGTTTTTATTGGTGAATATGTATTGACGAAATATGCACTTTATTTATGCCTGCTTGTCCAAAATGTAGTACATTAGGTATATAATTGTTTTGTTTTATCTGTTGCTGTCTTTTTAATTTTACTTAAACAAATTAAGACAGTTTACAGTTTTCATTTTGATGTGGCGAGCAACTCTAAACAAGGATAATTCTTGGTATGCCGTCTCTTCCTTCACACTTTGAGGACTGTCAAAGCTGGTTAGTTTTTGCTGGAAACACGCTCGTACAACAACAAACTGTATTTCCTCTAAACATACTGGAAGCTTGATGGAATGTGCTAAAAAAGAAGCTTTTTTTATGTCTTTTACAGTATAAGGCACCTAAAACAGATCAGGCAAGACGACCCACCCTTTTCGTCCCTTGAGGAAAAAAATTAAAGGATTTAAGTGCAATGCCAACAGTTGAAACCCTATCTTGAAAGGACAACAACAAACTTGATGCAGAAAGAGTGGATCACGAACAACACAAATTTCATCCAGAAGACATGCCCAAACTCCCCCTCAAACATTGTCACCCGGTTAAGCCACCACACCACTTGGCGCACAATACTACTCTCAAATACTCAACTTTTCTGGTTAAACCCGAATTTCCGAAAATGAATTCAGCATACTTTTATCGGTCTTTATCGATTTAAACCGAAAACGCCGAACCCTAATTATACCGTATAACGACTATTCTAAAGCCTTTTATTAATAGTAAGTCATAAAACATTTCTCAGAACGCAAATGGTCTCATTTCAGTTTTTCCCATTATACATTCCTCAGATCTACAGAAAAAAAACCTTAAATTTGCAGATTTGTATGGCCATCTGTTGACTGTATCACAACATCAATAACTATAGGTAATTAGGCCCATTGACTGCGTGATACTCAGAAGTATTGTGACTTTCTTCCCACTGAACACTCATAGTTGCAACAACACTACAATAACACGAAAATATAATTGTAGGACTAATTATGTAATATAAGGGCAGAACAGTATACATATGAAAAAGAAATATCCTTACATATCCATTTCCAATGACATCTGCGAGCTCTGGGTACTTCTTGATCAACTGAGCACAAACCTTGGTGTAAAACTTTGAAGTTGGAACTCTGTAACAATGTCACAGTATTATGTGTGAATATCTTACCTCCATATGACAAGGAGTAAAACAATTTGTGTAAAAGTGATGCATATGTAGGAAACTGCATAAGATCAGTCAAAACATTAGCTCCACGCAATGAAGTTTAACAGTTACATGCCCTGGACAATAACTGCTAGTACCACTTACACCGATATTTTGACCATTGCAGCGAACAATGTGTCCACAATTCCTCGGTACACCTGTGATTCCAGCCTTTTGCCAGCCACGATCACATCGTGTAGTGACCCGAAGCCTGGCATGGTGAAGCTGTTGCCACCATCATCTGAGTAGGCAGGGCTAAAAGAAGTATTTCAAACAGCATTTCCCTCAAAATATATCAGGTGGGCATTTATAGCCATGATGTTTTATCTCTGCTAAGCCCACGAAAATTGATGAGCTTTTATTCAGTATCTATTCATAATGAAAACTGGCTCTGTCGATGGTTTCAGCATAATTTATCAAAATGTTAAAGGCCGATCCAAGCTGAACAATAGTAAGACAAAGCTGGGGAAGAGGTTGAATGTTTATATAAGTTCATAATGAAGGCACAGTGCAAACGCATAAAAACGGAACAGAAAAGAATGGGCCCGGTGATAACCTTGAACTTTGTTACTGCATAGGGACTATAGCCAGTGCAGTCCTGTTTCTTCACAGTTATTTCAGCACATCGATACTTCAGACCCAGATCACGGATTACAAAGCGGGGCATGGAATGGCCAAAAAACGAGCTTTTCGTGTAATACTCGCTAAAATATGAGGCGCCAGAGAAAACCAGCTTTTTGCGTTAAGTCCTTATTCCGAACTCTTTTCGTTCACGTTTCAACCATTGAAGAGCGCTGGGAAAAGGCCGAAGCACGCACCGCATACCACTAAACCGCTGTGTGCTTCCGCAGCGTAAAATCCGTCTGCTTCCATCGCCGTCTCCGTGGCAACGAGCATTGGATGGATGGAAGGACGCACGGTATAAACCCGTGAAGTCTTCAACAGCTGGCGCCCTTCCCCAAGCGGCGTCTGCTCACCCAAGGTCGTCGTGCCTCCTCAGAGTATTTCCGGAAAGGTTCGACTGTCATGGGCACAGCCTATACTTCGTTTCATGCTTCACCTAGGATGCCTTAATGTGCGTACTGCTTAGGGTTGGCCCAGGACCCCTCCCCTTAGGTAAAAGCACGTATTAAGGCACCCCGGTGAAATGAAGATCTACCCATGATAGTCGAACCCCCTCCGGAAATACTCATCTTCGCGCCTCACGCTGCTACGCGGGACCGCACCGTTAGCGCTGTATTCGTCGGCCGCCGCCGTACGTGCGTGAGTACTTGTCGCCAGGCCTAAATCTTGCCTTCGCGGGCGAGTTGCGACCTCTCGGATTTGCATGCCTTTGAGGTAGATGGGTTGGAAACCCGTAGGTTTACGTGAATGTAGAGCTGCAAACTACCCGAGAGTCGTTTGCGTGGGTGACAGGAACACCGAATTCGACTTTGACTGAGCAGAAGCCGTTCGGGGAATGGCATCAGCTCTTGCTGGCTTCACGGGTTTATATGCTCCGTGCGGGAACTATAGGGGGCGCTTTGAAAAACGCGTGTAGCGCCGCTAGCGAAGGAGCTGGCGTTCGACAGTGAGGCGCGCTCAGCAACCTGCGGCACCTTTTCGCATGCGAAGCTGTGGCGGCGGAAGCGTGCACAGACGAAACTTTTGCTTTTTGAGCCGATACGTTGAGGGTGACGTTGCATGAGTGTTAGGGCAGACCTAAGAAGGGCATCTAGCTGTTCTCCACTTATATATTGAGTTTAAGTCGTTATTAGGGGTAATTTCTCAAGTTCCGGCCGAAAAAAGGGGTTGGAGCAATTTTCCAAAAAGCAAGACGGCCGCCACCATAATTGCTTTGAGTGGGAAATTTGTTTCGCCCGTCTCTGTAAACGGGGCTGCTGGAACGATGATAATTAGAGGCGAGCGAGATGTTCATTAAGTTTGTGCACGAAGTGTGCCAAGCTTCATTAATACAGCAAGTGTAAAAGTTACGTTTCTAAGAATAAGAATAAAGAAATGAAGCTGTACGGGATATCCAATATTGGACCCAAAATGTTGTGTTATAACCGGGCTGTGCGAAGTGCAGTTTTGGGTACACAGGTGCTTGAACTTGACAGTAACATGATACAGCACTTATTATACCAAAAAGAGGTGGCATAGGAAAACCAGGTGGAAATTTTGTTTTGGGCGGCGTAACTCAATGGTAAGCGGTTTTGACCATGAAAGGGTTGTCAAGAGAATACCACTCGTTGTGGGAGGTGGAGACTTTACAGGTAGGAAGGGACTAGTGGACTGTACTCTTAATTGAAACAACTTTACGAAAGGTGGTTCTAAAGCCGAGAAAACAAAGTTGTCGGTCAATACACGGTTTGGCCGTCAAAGGCTTTTGTGGTCAGCTGTTATGTAGTAACCTGTTGCGCGAGGTGCTGATTTTTGACACACAGGTACTTGACATGACCGTAACTTGACACACTTATTATACCAAAAAGAGGTGGCATGGTGAAACCAAGTGGAAATTTAGTTTGGGCGGCGTAACTAAATGGGAACCAGTTTTGACCGTCAAAGGCTGTCAAGATAATACCACTCATCATGGGAGGTGCACATTTGCAGGTAGGAAGGGACCAATGGACGGTACTTCCAGTTCGAACAACTTTGTGAAAGGTGGCTCTAAAGCCGAGAAAAAAAATGATGTCCACAGAACTCAGGGTGTCAGCGTTTCCACATCCAAAAGGAGGCTGATCAAAAAAGAAAGCACACCACATAAACTTGCATACTCAATCGTCCATTCTCCAGTGATTCCAAGTTTCATTGTAGTTTTCCTTCGATTCATATTTGTCACATCTTTTTTTTACCGTTCGAATTTTCTACATGAAGTACAGATTGCATGCCATACTTGTCCGGAAATATCATCGACAAGTACGATGGGCACGAAACTTCTTTGGAGGGCATTTCTCCAACGAAATTGGTACTGCATATCCGCGAGTGTAAAATGGCATTTCAGTTCGTCCCATCGGCGCTAATGCATGTAGGCGTCACTGGTACGAAAACAAACGCAGAGCGCAAAGCGGCAGTGTAGAATATTTCAGCCGTGCCGACACAGTGGCAGATATGATCGGGAGACTAAAGTTATAATTATAATGCAATTAAATGCAAAAGTGCAAGCGAGCTGGACAAGAATGACGAAAGTAATCCCTGGAGAAGGGGAACAAGAGGGACAAAGGACAAACATAAATATCCAAACACAGTTAGGTGACTGGTGAGCGACCGAAAAAATGCGCCTGGACCGGGTATCGAACCCAGGACCCCTCCATTACAAGTGGAGCGCTCTAACAACTGAGCTAACCAGGGGTTAGACGTCAGTAGAGCAAACGGGTTTTATCAGCTGCCACCAGTCTAACACCAACAAGGGTGAAGCTTGCAATTCAAGGTTGTAATTATAATGCAAATAAATGCAAAGGTGCAAGCGAGCTGGACAAGACAAAATCCGCCTGGTTCGATACCCGGACCAGGCGGATTTTTTCCGTCGCTCACCAGTCACCTAGCTGTGTTTGGAGATTTATGTTTGTCCTTTGTCCCTCTTGTTCCCCTTCTCCAGGGATTACAAAACCGTACATCCGGCCAATATTGAAGCCGGTTTTCGGCTGAAATTGCTTCGACACTGGCCAAGAAGCAGCGTGCTGCTGTGGCGACTTGTTTGCGTAATTTATTTGTTCTGTCATTTTATTGGGTCCCGGGCAACTGTGTACACCCCAAAAAAGAAAGGTACTGTGGTAATTAAACCTTGACGAGAGGCAGGCACGTAGCCAGGATTTTGTTTCGGGGGGGTCCATGACAAAGTGCTTTATGAGGGAGAGGGGGGAGAGGAGGCCTCAGCAAATGAAAGATTTCGGAGGGCCCTACGCCCCCCCCCCCCCCCTCCCCCATAGCTACGGGCCTGACAAGAAGGGGTATTGTAGTTTTACATCTTTATAAAAAGGTGTAGTGCATTATCACACGTTTTAAGAAACGTGTTTAAAAAATCACACATTTTTAAAGGTGTGAGGTTTACATTTCTTTTATAAGGTCTATTGCTACACTTATTAGGGTGTTAGTTATGGGACACCCCACTTACATGTATAAAGGTGTGGAAATGTTTAATGTGTATATACCTCTAACGGAAGAAAATCTCTTTCATGTGATTACATCGCGTGCCAATGAAACGATCTGTCGACCTCGACCCTACCCAAGAATTACCCCGGTTCTTTTTTGTTTTCAAACATTCTGAATTGTACCAGCTTATTAGTACCTCTTCGGATATTGCAGAATAAAGCGATGGTAGCCGCAAAAACTCTGACAGCCCGGCTTACAGTCATGTGGGAGACTGACAGGTGCTCGTCAGTCGACACCATGCCTTGAAAGCTACCGGTTCCGAAGAACCGGAGCGCACAGAGAACTTGTGGTTCCACGGTCATGGTAGACGCAATTGTCCGCCGCCTCGAAGTCCAGGCGTCGAACGAAGCTCCTCGCAGAGTCAACACCCAACGGCTTTCGATAGCCGGTACTGTCGCCAAAAGTCGTCGTCGGGGAGTTGAAAGGCGTCCCCGGTGGTCTCAGTAGCGACGCCAACGATGGCGGAAGATAAGCACGGCCGCAGTGTACGGCACCGCCATGTTCACAAAGTTTAACTTCGCCTCGATCCGAAGCGAAGATCTCGAGCTCCAACCACGGCTCTCGCAAAGTTCGGAAACGTCACTATGACGTCAGCGACAACTTCGACAAACGAGGTTTCTTTTTAACAGAAACTTTGGAGGGATTTGGAGCGTCAGCCGGTCGCCTAGGGACAATCTGCAAAGCATTAATTTTAGCTTGGCGTAGGGATGTAGGGACAAACGGGCGCTACGTCATCGGCGAAGCCGTTCAATCAGCGGGCTCCTCGCGCCCCTCACGCGCACCTCGATGAATTTTGCTACATTCTGCCTCTCTCAAAAAAATGAGCGTTCGAATGATTGACACCTCGCTCGGCGCGACGTCAGCGTCGCGAGAGTTCAATTAGCGCGTTCCGCAAACTTTGGGCACAAAGTTGTGCTTGACGAGTTTAGCGGCCCTGGTTTTCTCCAGCGCCTCATATTTTGGTGAGTATTACACGAAAAGCATGTTTTTTTAATAATCCCGTTCTGTTTGTTTTAACCCGTAACATGGGTATAAAGTATCGAAGTGCCGTTACTTCTTTTATCTCCTCACAGTTATAGGGGTAACTGTAAAAAAAAAAAAAAAGTGTATTTTTAAACAGCCTAATTGGGACAAGCATATTACAAAACATTTTTTTTAACAATAACAAAATTTTTTTACAGCTATAATTATTGCACGGGACTGATTTTAGTTTGTGGCTATTTCGTTCGTTTTAAATCGCGCGCCACAAAGTTGGTATTATACGTCACGGAGTAACGTATAGCAGCCACTATGCGGACGTCGAAGGAGCGGGAGTGTCAAATGTGGAGAAGTTGTGAGTCCGACTAAATTACCTCCTGTGGCGTAAATATTGCCAAAAAAATTTGTTTTTTCGCGGAAGATTTGTTTTGGGACATGCTTGTCCCAATTAGGCTGTTAAAAAAAAAAATCTTTTTTTTTTGCACTTATCGTTTAACCTTAAATTTCACTTCAAAAAGTTTACTTTGTGCGCCAAATGACTGTTGTTCCCATTAAAATTCACTGAAACCAATATAGTCATAGTGAAGACTCTAAATAAAAAAGAAAACTTATAATATTTGGTCAAACAACCGAAATGCACTTACAGTTCGATTGCGCTGACATTAGAGCAAACTCCTGTAGCATCTGGTGGTACCTCGCCTGTAGCATCTGGTGGTACCTCGCCTGTGGCGTGTGATGGCATCTCCTAAGCCCAGGAAAAGCTTTCGATGATTCCTTGGGTTATGCAACACACTAGAGATTTAGTAAGTGCCTACTAAGCAATTTAGAGCTATAGTTAATCACTTGAAAACGTTACATTTCATCTGAAACAGTTATAGCATAAACACCTGAGATTGAGATGAACAGGGTTGTTCTTCTGACGCGGCTGGAACTTGATGCACAAAAACTTTCACCATGTCTGCCAGCTCATCTCCAGGGGCAAGGTCTACATACTCGCCAAAAGCTGCATCTAGTACCTGCAATCGATGCATACGATAGCTAGACACACCTGCCTGTAACAGCACACTTGCGTTGTAACTGATTGGAAAAAAAAATATTCGACCCGGCGTTAACTTGAAAATGCCAAGCACGCAAGAGTTGTGAAAATCGAACGCTTGTAAGATGGTAGCAGTGCACTAGTTGCTGTTGTAACACAGCAATAATTTGGAAAGCGCAAGTTTCACGACACTAGTACTACAGCTATACGACAGAAGCCTGTGTTGTAGCGCGAGCGCAACGGCACGTGGATTAAGCAAAACGTTTTCACCTAAGCTCGAAGTCGGTCGCACCATCCCTTCCGTTCTCGACATCGAACGCGCTACAAATCGGTGACCGTGACGTGATGTCACTGCCGAGACTGTCGCCTCCGCGCTTCTGTCCACCTGGAGCTCCCGCTTTGGAGTTCCCGCAGAAATCGTGAACGATCGCGGACGCCAATTCGAGTCGGCCCATTTCCGAAGCTTGACAACTCTTCTTGGCATCGCTCACCTGAAGAACACACACAACCTACCAACCGCAGACAAATGGTTTGGTCGAGCGTTTCCATCGCTTCTGGCAAAATTTGCACTCCCGGACACCCGCTTTGCCAGCATCCACGTGGACCTTGTCGGACCCCTACCGTCATCGCAGGGCTACCGGTACCTCCTGACCGTTATCGACAGGTTCACGCGCTGGCCGGAGGCTTGTCCCATCAAAAACATCACGCCCGGGTCACCAATTTGTAGCGCGTTCGATGTTGAGGACGGAAGAGATGGTGCGACCGACTCCGAATTTAGGTGAAAACGTTCTGTTCAATCCACGTGCCGTTGGGTTCGCGCTACAACACAAAGGCTTCCGCCGTATGGCGCTACTACTCGTGTCGTGAAACTTGCGCTTTCCAAACTTTGCAGCAGAACTAAGTGGAGCGTCCAGCAGCAGCCTATCGATTCTTCTTTTACACAGTACATTGCGCAGAAAATGCCACATTAAACGACCGCTTACCTGAAACCTACTGCGAGACAGTTGGACCTGGCTTCCAAGCACGGGACACGTTGCGATTGCTTGCTTTAGGCATTCGATTGAGCCTCTCTGAAGGGTCAATGCTCTTTTCGTTTGGGAAATGCCGGTGGCGACGGTGACGAGGCAACGCAGCGGAGGCATTATTGTTACGACGAGCCCGCGCGTTGTAGAACGAAACATCCGCCAATGCGACGCACAACGTAAAACCGGTAAAACGTAGGCCTAATGTAGGCGCCAACGCGGCCAAAGCATCAAAAACAAGTCTCGTAGTCAAATCTAGCGCGATTGAGTGGAATGAGCAACGGTAATGAGCAAACACCACCTAGATTGTATGAGCACGAAAGTAGACGAATGGCTGTACTGTACCGTAGCAGAGCCTGTACCGTAGCCTCTACCCGTTGTAACGGGCGGTAGCTCACGCCATCTAGCCAAAGGGGTTTTGTGGTGGTGGTGGTGGTACTGGCCAGACAGAGCAGGTGCTGGCCAGTTGCCAAGCGGCGGCGATGATTAGAAAGTTTGGGGGAACCGGTTCGAGACCGCTGCGAGCTGCATCATCTCCTCATCTCCGGTCGATCGCCCGATACGGTCCGAGACCGCTGCGAGCTGCATCCCGGTGTCGTGAAACGAGTTTCTCTAACCGCATGCTTCCGGGTAACACGCTTATGACTGGCAGTGGGCTCCAGTGACTCACGGCAAGACTGGATTCCCGCGCTTTTGTGAGTGGCGCCATGTAATACATCTACCTATGCCTCTACTACAAGTGCCTACTGCAGACGGACGCTGCGTGACTGGCGCGATGTGACAGATAGCAGCGGCAGCAAGACCGAGGCTACAGAGGCCGCAGTCGAGAATGTGAGGTGTTCCCTGCACTCGTGGCTAGTCAACGAACCCCTGTAAACGAAAAACGGCTGAAATCTACCGGGCGGCCCTCCTGCAAACGTGAAAAGGTAAGATGTAAGGCAAACGTGTTATGTGCGCGCGCCTTCTCTCTTGCAGCCTGCAGTCACACGAAATATTATCAATTTAGATTATGCTCAAAGGTTACTAAGTATAAAGTCCAAGTTTCAAATATTTTAGAGCTCTAGGAATTAAAATAATTAATTTTAAATAATGATTATCTGCCCCTGCCGACAAGGCACTAGTCGATCGCAGTAGGCACAGTTGGCACGTAGGCATATATCATTGTGTCCGCGCGGATAGACAAAATAACAATAACGTGTGTAAACACTGTGGGCAGCGAGTTCTTACCGCCAGTGATCTGTTTTGAAGCATAAATGGGACTTCTTTGGCAATTCATACGAGTCGGGCCACTCTGGGAATAACAATAACGTGTGTAAACACTGTGGGCAGCGAGTTCTTACTGCCAGTGATCTGTTTTGAAGCATAAATAAGGCTTCTTTGGCCATTCACGCGACTGAGGCCACTCTGGAAATAATAATAACGTGCATAAGCACTGTAGGCAGTGAGTTGTCACTGTTAGCGATCTGTTTCGAAGCACAAATGGGACGTCTTTGGCCATTCAAGCAACTGAGGACACTCTGGAAATAATAATAATGTGCATAAACACTGTGGGCAGCGAATTCTCACTGCCAGTGATCTGTTTCGAAGCATAAATGGGACGTCTTTGGCCATTGACATGACCCGGGCCACTCTGGGAATAACAATAACGTGTGTAAACACTGTGGGCAGCGAGTTCTTACTGTGCCAGTGATCTGTTTCGAAGCATAAATGGGATGTCTTTGGCCATTTGTACGAGTCGGGCCACTCTGGGAATAACAATAACGTGTTATTCGCGGAGAAACTAGAAGCAGAAGCTGAAAACAAGGAGCTGGAAACATACGAGGAACTCATGCAATGGTGGACTCACCACCTGGAAAAAGCGAAGAGACCCACACGTCACAAGGGTAGGAAAAGAAAGCTATGGTGGGACGTTGAGGTGAGGAAGGCAATAACGAAAAGACAACTGGCGTGCAGAGCTCTTCGAGGAGAGATCAGGAGGAGAGTAGAGGAAAAAATCCCTCTCAGGAAGGATTCTATGGAATGGAGGGAGTACCAGCATAGGAAAGTAGAAGTGACGACCCTGATCCAGACCAAGGTGGCCAAGGCGGATAAGAGGTTCCTGGAGGACCTGAAGGAGGCGGGAAGGGAAGCACCTCGCAAGTTCTGGCGACATGTTCGGGACCAGACGGGTAAACCCAGAGAGGATTCAACGCTCAAAGACGACACCACAGGAAGACACCTGGGGCCGAAAGAGACCATCCGATACATCGAAGAGAGGGTCAGATCGATGTTTGCGGGAAGCAGCACGGACGCAGTGGACGAAAATGGAGGGCCGGAGGGACTGGTGGAGCGAGAGGTACAGCCGAGCATGGACAACATCACGAGGGGAGAACTGAAGAAAGCGATAGGGAGGATTGGAGCGACGACAGCCACAGGACTAGACAATCTACTGATGAGGCTGGTGAAGCAGCTGTGGCCAGAGACAAGAGAACTCCTACAGCAAACCCTGAGCCAGATCATGAAAAGGGGACGAATTCCAGCCGAATGGCGAAAATCAAGGCTCCGACTTATATACAAGGCCCAAGGACCCAAGTCCTCGTTTGGCAGCTACCGTCCTATCGCAATCACACCGGTGCTGTACCGACTGTTCATGCAGGTGGTGCGGAACAGACTGCAGGCATGGGCCGAGAAAGAGGCGATCCTGGGAGAGCTGCAGAATGGCTTTCGATGGGGAAGACGCCTGGAGGACAATCTTTTTGTGCTGACTCAGGCCATCGAGATCGCCCAGAAGGAGAACCGCTCCCTGTACCTCTGTTTTCTCGATGTCAGCAAGGCGTACGACACGGTCGAACATTGAAAACTGTGGACGCAGCTGGCAGAGCGGGGACTCTGCAGTGAGTTGATAGACCTCTTGCGAGAAGTGTACAGAGGGACGGCGGTGGTGGCACAGTGGCAGCAGGAGACAACACATCCAGTGACCTGCTCCAAAGGCTTGAGACAGGGCTGCCCGCTGTCGCCGCTGCTGTTTATGCTGTACATAGCAGGAATCGAAAGGCGGCTGCAGGAGAGTGGGGAGGGTTTCTCACTGGAATATTTGGAAGGTGGGGAAAGGAAGGGAGGAAAACTCCCGGGACTCTTCTACGCCGACGATATGGTGCTGATGGCGGACTCACTGCAGGGCCTGCAGGGGCTCATGAACGAGTGTTGTGCAATGGGGGAGGCCCTGGGACTTAGCTTCAGTTCGCACAAATCTGGGCTGATGGCTTTTGGAGCAGCAGAGGAAAACGGGACCGCCAACCTGTCCATTCAGGGCAACCCTGTACCTTGGGTGGACCACTACAAATATCTTGGTGTAAACCTACAGAAGGACACCACTACCTCCTAGAGCACGAGATGAAGGTCAAGGCGAAGGGCAGGAGGAACAAGGGCATAGCAACGGCCAGGGCCCTCTGGGAATATAACCAATACGAGGTAACCCGAGCGGTCTGGAAGATGGTGGCGGTGCCGGGGCTCACTTTCGGCAACACAGTGTTGTGCCTGTCATCAGGTACCAGGCAATACCTCGAGGTCCGTCAGAGGGAGGTGGGAAGGTCGGCACTAGGAGCAAGCCGAACAGCACCGAACGAGGCCGTCCAAGGAGACATGGGCTGGTCCGGTTTTGAGGCCAGGGAGGCCCGAGCCAAGCTG